GGAGGACGTCCAATGTTAGAGTCACTTTTGGCAAAGGGGTTGTGGTGCTTTAAGAGGATCCAGGCCTACAATGAGTTACGGTGCTAGGAGAACTTTTTCAACAATGCCATCCTTCATGCTACCGACATATCTTCCGTTCCTGCTTTTGAGGCTAACCTTGCTCGTGTAGTAATTCTGTCGGTTGATAATCAACTAGCGGAGCACTCTCATCCTGGCTCTCCTCATGTGCCTCGAAAGTGACATTGTGGTGATTTGCATGCAGAGGATCTCCAATTCTTATGGCAATAGTCTGCAACAGATATAGCTACTAAACTTGGTTTGAACAGATCTGTTGCCCAGGCTGAGGGGTCCAAGAGGAAGAAGAAGATAGAGTCCAAGAGGCACCACCGCGCGAGAGCTCTATGCTCTTGGAGACGGGGCAGTTGAGGATGCACCATGGCAGATCGAGGATGCACTCAAGTTCACTTAAGGGGGTTGCGGTCCCAAACTCTCCCCACACTCCACTTGAGTTTATCAAGGTGGAGGGTGCTTCTCCTCTAGGGGTGGTACATGACCGAATCAAATCAACCACTATGATATTCAAATTCAAATTAGGTCACTTGTGCCAAATTCGAATTTGTGTGGAATGTTAAATTAATGTTTGAATTCGATCAGGTTAATATATACAAATTTGAAACTATTCGCAAAGAAAAATTCCCTAAGGACCCCAAATATGGGACCAACATGGAGGACATGTGAGGTGTCCCCCTCCTATTGCATAATGAGCTGGTCATCATTAATGATGGTCAACTCATTATACAATAAGATGGGGACACCTCACATGTCCTCCTGTTGGTCCCATATTTTGGGTCCATATAGCAAAACCCATTCACAAATGTTCAAATAGCTCACGTTGTCATGTTAGTGGTCTTGGGTTCGAACCTCTCCTTGGCAACCATTTTAGCATGTAAATTTGTTATTTTTTTTAACTTTGTAGTCTATTTATCTACATAGCAACATTTTATCATGTAAAGTTGTTATTTTTTTACTTATCTAGTGTGGAACAAAATTCAATACTCTTAGTTTACAACTTTATTCAAAAAAAAAAAGAAAAATAAATTGACAAAAATACAATATTTTGTATAATATTATTTTATATAAAAATAGACCTTATTGGTAACTTTTAATCTAATTATCCTTCTAATTTATTAAGTGGGAATCATTTTTGAATTAGATCAATTTATATAATAATGCAAGAAAGATATAGTTTCTTATGAAATAAAACCCTAAGCTCTATTTATATGGGGGTATGATTTATAACAAAATTTTGGATGAATAATATTTGTAATAAGTTAGATTTATAGGGCTAAAATATAAAATATAATCGAATAATTAATAATTAACTGAATTGAATATACCTTTGGTTAATTCTATTCGTTTACGAACTGAATACTAAAAAAAATTTGTTTACTATTAAATGAACTACTTAATCGTATATGACCAAATATTTGGATGAATAATATTTGAACTGTCTATCAACTATTTGGTTCACTTCCTCCCCTACTCTCGTCATCCAGTCCCTGAGGAGGAAGCTGGGGATGGTGACGTTCCTATTATGGAGCGACGGGTAGTGAGGCTCCATCCACGATCGCAGCTAAAGAGGTGCCACCAGATAGGAGGAAGCACCAACTGAACTGTAAGAGGGGCTTGGGTCACCCAGAAGACCCGCTAAGGCCCCTACTATCGAGGATCTGGTTGCAGAGGCTTATGAGCGGATCGCTCCGAGTCTGGGGGTCTCTCGGCCACTGTGCATGAGGTTCGGTACGAGTGGACCTTACCACATCGTATCAATGACCTGCACCCCCACACTTGGGAGGCGATGCGTGCTGTCTTGATGGCCCAAATTCTATCCTCATTATGAGGTGGAGCCAGAAGAGTGTCCTTTCATCCTGGAGAACCGAATGGATGCTAAGGGTTAGTCCTAGACTCTCAAGTCGACTAGGACAAGGCAGTGGAACAGTACCTTCCTTTGGCTAATGAGACTCTGTTGATCGAGATCCCTGATGCCGGTCTTCATTACGCTCTCTGGAGCTATTTCACCTGAGGGGCTCTCTTGGAGTTTGAGCCATTTTGATGGCTTGAAATTTATCAGGAGCTCTTCTTCAAGCTCTGAGTCGAGTTAGAACCTCAGAGGAAAGCTCATGAGGCTGTCGAACTGGCATCAACTACTAAATGTAGTGAGCTCGATGAGTTCAAGCGGGACCATGCTATGAAGGAGCGAGAGCTAGCCCACAAAGACGAGGAGCTGAAGGCAGCCATAGCTGGTGCTCGACGTCGCGAGGCTCAACTAAAATAGGCTTAGGAGGTGGTGACGAGCCCAAGGAGGTTCTCGACCATGCTCATCAAGATACGAGACTTGTCAAGGGGAGGCTGCATAGCTCGAGTTGGAAGTCTAGGCTGAGAAGGAGAAGAAGGATGCCTTTAAAGGGCTCATTTTGCTTGGACCAAGGTGGAAGAGCTACACGTCAAATTTGATGAGGAGGTGGCCCTCCATGGGACCCATTGTCACGAAGTTGCTCGCATGACTACCGAGGTCGAGCTGTAGTGTAACTCTCTCCATGCCCAAGTTCAAGAGCTTTAGACCCGGATAGCCCATCTAGAATTGAAAGCCTTTGAGACCACGATAATTGAGAGATATTACAATAGTTACCTAGGTAAGATCAAAGTGGTCATCACCTGTAAGACATGGTCTGATTATCTGAAGGGCCACCTTCCTCTTGAGCTTTTGCTGAAAGAAGACCACTTCAAATATCCCTCCTGAGTGGCCAGTAGCCTTGATGTCCTCAGGATGCTTGAGGTTCAAGTTGGGTTGGGGATAGTGTGGGAGGAAGAGGAAGTTGTCGATGGAGGTGGTGAGAAGGAGGCTATTGGCGCATGCCCTGGCGAAGGCCTTAATGATGACGTTGACCTATCTTCTTCATCTATGAATCCTGACCCCCCTCCATTAGATGTACCCAGCTCAGATTTGCTTTCGGTTCATGCTCCAAATGCTGCTCCTTGAGGAGGATGTAATTTTGTATCAAGTCTTTTGTAAGAAAGTCCTATAATACACATTTTTTTGAATGAATGAGAAGACTTTGTTTTGATGACTCATTTTTTCACACTTGGTTTGAGTAATTTCTCATATATGCTTTTGATTTTTGGGACATTTTGAGCGAGTCGGTGAGGACCGAGTCATGAATTTTATTGTCTTCTGGGTACATCAGTGAAGACCGTGTGGTTTCTTAGTACCGTACACCTAAGATTTGTTGGAGGCTACTAGCTAGGGCTTAACAGCCACATCTTCTATTGTGTCTCAATTTTAATCTGAAAAGATACCAAGGTCTTTGGTCTTCATTGTCAAGTCAGTAAAGATCGAGTGGCAAGAGCTCCATGCCTTGGTTTTACTCGTGACAGTGATACCAAGGTCTTTGGTCTTCTTTGCCTAGTCGATGAAGTGCGGTAAGAGCTTCGTGTCTTGATTTTACTCATGAGAACGAAACCAAAATCTTGATCTTCTTTGCTGAGTTAATGAAGTTCGAGCAGCGAGAGCTCATGCCTTGGTTTTACTCGTGAGAAGGATACCAAGGGCTTTGGGCTTATTTGCTGATTCAATGAAGATCGCTGCATGCAGGGTAGTACACCATGCAAGTATTTCTTACTTACAGAAAGGTTTTTATAGTTTAATTACATTTTGTGGAGGCATTCTCCGAAATATTTTACATTTTATGACAACCCTAGTATTTAGTTAGCTTTGTTCTCCATTTAGTTTTTGGCAGAACTATTTTGCTTTCATAGCACTGAGCGATGGTGGCAGTTTCTAGATCCGAGGTCCGAAAATCAGAGATTAATCATTCCTTCAAAAGGAGAAGAAGAGGAACTACGGTGGACATCAAACTGTTTAAGTCGCAAAGTTGATACGTGATTTAGGAGGGTTAAACTAAATTTTTGGGTCATTTAATCACCTTTGATGGTTGATCTCCTATTTTGCGATGGTCATCGCTACACAGATAACAGAGGTTAGAGGCATCGTATGTTGTTTCCTCTAGCGTGCCCTCCGACGCTCAAGTCAGTGACGCTCAAGTCAGTAACTATTTCTAGTTAATTTAAAAAGAAAAATAGAGTATATTCCTGTTGAGTTTTATGTGTAAAATTGCATACCTTGGTTTGGTGGAAATCATCATTATTTATAGAGGGCTCACAGGAGCAATAGTAATTGCAACCGGATGTGTGCAGCATTAGTACATACCTTACTTTATAGGTGGCAGCTACTGATTGGCCAAGTTGCCTTTGCACGGTGATAGGATTGTTGGAGTAATAGCTCGTTTGAGGAACTTTGGCTCGAAATGTCATAATGATTGATGTGACATTAATTGCTTGATGACGACTGGACAGCGAAGTGCAGGCGTAGACTGTGCAAAATGACTTTTGATGACGCTTGTTAGGCCGTTCCACTATTCAAGACGCCTTGTGTTTGGTCCGAGAGGAGAACGTCTTTTGAGTCGGAGTCAGACATCAAGCAAGATCTAGGTCGGGACTGCCTTTTGCCTCGGATCTGGATCAACTACAGATGAGTCAGTCAGTTATTTATCATGTGGCTACTCTTATTGGTTTTGGTAATTTCCAGGGTACAACTATAGTGATTGCTATTGAAGCAAGTTTGATAGGGATTCTTTCCCCACGACCAAAGATATCAACCAATACCTTTTAACAGTATTCGTAACACTGTTATTTCATAAGCCAAAATTTTGTCACAGCGGCAGGCCCATCACCATCATACCCAAAACTATAGCATTTACCACGCTAGCCACGCTGAACATGCCCTATCAGGCGCAAACACCTTTACCCTCAATAACAGATGCAGTCGCGGAATAGCAGCGGTACATTCCTCCCATGGATGGAAAATAGATAAATAAAATAAATTCAATAATACAATCACCATGCTTTTTTATTTGTTTTTGTATACATTCTTAGTAAAGATCTTACAGAACTAAATTCCACATAACCTTAAAGAATTATATTTCAATTGTAACATGATATTAAAGCCACCGTGTGAGAAATGCAGTCAAAGATGCTTCTCTGTAGTGATAATAATGAACTCACACATTAGAACTCTCTCCTAAACTAGGATATGTAAAACCTTATCGCCTATTGATTTATTCGTCCATTAGAAGAAACATCTTCTGAACATTTATCAGAGCAGCATAACCTTGCTTTGTCTTTTCCACAAGATCTTTTAAGATAAGGGGGTGTTTGGTTGGCTGTTTTTATAGAAAACATTTCTCAAAAACTCTGACAGTGGCAATTTCATAAATAAAAATTTTCTGTGTATTTCTATAAAGTGTGTTTGGCTCCCAAAAATTTTACAGAAATGTTTTCTTAAAACTGTCAAAAACACCCCAATTTTGTAGAAATGTATTTCCTCTCAAAATGAGAGGAAATTGCCATGAAATCTGACACTTCCTTTATTAAATTCATATATTCGCTTCCCGTACCCATTTCCCCACTCGCTGGACATTTCTCGAGCTGCTGCGTCGACGGAAAATCTCGCCCTGGTTCCCGTCCCAAATCCAGCGAGCTGCTGGTCCTTCGCGCCATTTCCAATTACATCTCGATTCCCCCTCTTCGATCGCCTCAGATCTAGGGTTTTTGGTTCCCAGATCTTGCGCTAGGGTTCATTCTCGTTCCCAAATCTTGCGCTAGGGTTTCTGATCTCAAGGTTCCCACGGTAAAAATCTCTTCTTTTGGCTCAAATTTTTTTTGTTTTGATCTATTTGTAGTTGGTCTGTTGACAAAAATTATCGTTAGGGTTTCTGTTCATTTTATTTTCGTAATTACTGATCTCAAGGCTTTTAGAATCATGACTCAATACTCAATAATTGTTGGGACGTTGATGAATTTGATTTTGGGGAACATATTTATCAGTTGAAAACAGATAATTTGTTATTTTCTTTGTTATTTGAGCTGAGTACCAAAGCAGATAGTGCTTTGTCATCTGTTATGTATTTTGTCATCTGCGTTTGCAACAACTAGTTAAAAGCTTTGCATGATAAAAATTAAATCTAAACCTTTAAGTTTTTTTTACATTCAGTAGGTTTTTCTTTGATAGAAATTACCCTCTATTACATTTTTGCAATCTTTATCTTGTTTGATGACAAGATCGGGCCTTGATATAGCACTTAAGCAATAGCACTTTAGTTGTGAATTTGACAGGGGCTTGTAATTTCACAGAGTATGGGGTTTTATAGGTATGTAAATAAGAAGCAATAGTTGGGATAAATGAATAAACAACAAATGTGATGAAAAGAACTGCAGTGGCACGCATGTAAACTTGCTTTAAGATTGTAAGATTGAAGATATCTTTTGAGGGTTTCCCCTCTTTACCATGTTCACATCTCAAACAAAAAAAATTGCTATTTTTCAATTTTTCAATGTACGACGTTTGTATCATGTCAATCATGATTATAGTTCAAAATGTTGGGTGTATAAAAGAGATTTGTTGATAAGTTAGTTGCGCAATTTTTCTTTCGTTGTTTATTGTTGCATAAACATCTTAAACTATTTTTGCTTTGTAACGAATGTAGATGGATGGTGTAGATGAAGAACAAATAAAGAGGATGTGTGCTAATACCACTATATCTACCGTGGTTACAATAATAGCTTGTTTATTGAGAATTCGTGCTAGGCGCAAATCCATTTGTTATGCCCCAAGAGAGGATAAGATGAGGAGAATTTATTGTAGAAATGCTCACTTCAAGCGCGTCTTTGAAGGATATAGTGATAGTTGTAGGTCTTATATTAGAATGAGGCCTAAAGCTTTTTTCAAACTTGCGGATGTAATGCGCAATCATGGTTTTCTAAATGACATAAAACACCTTCAAGTTGAAGAACAACTCGCTATGTTTCTTTGCATAGTAGGTCATAAAACCAAAAACAGAGTAATAAGGACTGAATTCATAAGATCGGGTGAAACGGTTAGTAGGTACTTTAATAAGATCCTACAGGCTATGAATGGTCTTCGCGATCGATACATGAAGCAAGCTCCTAATGAGATTCCACCGGAGATTGCCAACAATCCAAACTATTTTCCGTACTTCAAGGTAAGAGAGAAATAAATTGTTTGAGTTTGTGATTTGCATAATTCAATGATATGAGGTACTAATAATTTCATTTATTGTCGAGTTTTGATAGGATTGCATTGGTATGATAGATGGAACACATATTGACGCAATGTTACCCTCTAATCTAGTTGCACGGTTTAGAGGGCGTAAAGGTGTAACGTAAAATGTTTTAGCTGCGTGCACTCCAAATAAACTTTTCTCATATGTCCTAGCTGGGTGGGAAGGTGCGGCGAATGACTTTAGGATTTTGCAAGACGCATTGTCTAGACCACAACCTTACGAATTGAGAGTATATGATGGTATTCTTCCACCTCCTTTAATAAATAGTCAGCTAAATAATAGGGTCTAATTGATCACAAATTTTCTTTTTGTAATGTAGGAAAATATTATCTTTGTGATGCTGGATACACTACCATGCCCGGCTTCATCTCTCCGTACCGTGGTGTACGTTATCACTTAAAGGAACAAATTGGTAGGACACCCAGAAATAGTAGGGAGTTGTTCAATTTAAGACACTTTTCTTTACGGTCCAAAATTGAATCAACCTTTGGCACATTGAAGAATCGGTTCAAAATTCTTTCGGCGAAGCCTAATTATCCATTCCCCACACAAGTGGACATCGTCTTAGCATGTACTATATTACATAATTTCATTGCAATTGAAGATCCACAAGATGACATCTTGAATGAGAATGTACTAATTGATGAGGAGAATGATGACATGACAAACGAAGATGATACAAATGTAGTTGACTTCACTCAAGCTAGGACACAAAGAGAGGAGCGTGATGCAAGAAATGAATGGAAGGACCTTAGGGATCAAATTGCATGGGCAATGTTTAGTTTACTTTACAGTTCTTTAAGTTTGCACTTCGCTGTTCCTTATTATTGCCACCTTTCATTCTCAAAATGATAAACTCAGTACACATTCAAGGTAAGAGTTTGACTACTGTTTACAGCCATTCTTTAGTTTACTTCAATGTTTTGTTTAGCTCTCTATTCTTGGGTATTTTGTGGTTATTTGGGCTTATTGTCGAGCTATGAAGGCTGTTTTTTCAGTTTCTATGCTGATTCGAGCTTGTTTAGCTCTCTATTGTTGGGTATTTTGTGGTCATTTGGGCTTAGTAGCAGCTAATGGTTATAAAATGCTCGGTTTGATTGGTAATGATGGATGGCATATTTTGGTAATCAAGCATGGTATGACCTCTCTTCATTCCTTTTTTTTGGATGGGCAATGATGATAATAATAAACTGAGAATGCAGCCTATATTTATTGTGTATTGTTTAGGCGAGGTAATTTTGTGTGAAATGCATCCCTATTGATATCTCAATTCTTGGGTGAGGCAATCCCTCAAAATAGCAGCCTACTTTTCACCATAAATTGATAGGCGAGGTAATCTTTTATGATAAATATATTTTATCCTGAGCCCTAATGAGTTTTCTTTGTTGTTGAGCACTTTCATGTTTTTTGGTTACTATTCTCTGAGTTAATGGATTGCAGATTCTTTGGTGAGGCCATCAGCTTGTTTAGCTCTGTTGGGGCTGACTTTGGGTTACAGATTCTGTTACGAGCTTGTTTAGCTCTCTGTTTTTGGGTTTTCGGTGGCTTATTGTGCTCCTTGTTGAGCTGTTGGGCTGTTTATCAGTTATTATGTTGTTTTTCAGTTTCATTTCTGGTTCGAGCTTGTTTAGCTCTCTATTATTGGGTATTTTATGGTCATTTGGGATTGTTGTCGAGATATGAAGACTGTTTTTTTGGTGGTTATGCTGATTCGAGCTTGTTTAGCTCTCTATTGTTGGGTATTTGGTGAGTATTTGAGCTTGTTGTCGAGCTGCGAAGTCTGTTTTTTCAGTTTCTATGCTGATTCGAGCTTGTTGTGCTCTCTATTCTTGGGTATTTTGTGGTCATTTGGGCTTGTTGTCGAGCTATGAAGGCTGTTTTTTCAGTTTGTTTGCTGTTTCGACCTTGTTCAGTTCTCTATTCTTGGGTATTTTGTGGTCATTTGGGATTGTTGTCGATCTACGAAGGCTGTTTTTTCAGTTTCTATGCTGATTCGAGCTTGTTTAGCTCTATTTTGTTGGGAATTTGGTGAGTATTTGTGCTTGTTGTCGAGCTACGAAGGCTGTTTTTTTGGTGGTTTGCTGATTCGAGCTTGTTTAGCTCTTTATTGTTGGGAATTTGGTGAGTATTTCGGCTTGTTGTCAAGTTATGGAGGCTATTTTCAGTTTCTATGCTGATTCTTGTTGTTTAGCTCTCTATTCTTGGGTATTTTATGGTCATTTGGGCTTGTTGTCATGCTTTGGAGGCTGCTTTTTCAGTTGCTATGCTGATTCGAGCTTGTTTAGCTCTCTATTCTCGGGTATTTTGTGCTCATTTGGGCTTGTTGTCGAGATATGAAGGCTGTTTTTTAGTGGTTATGCTGATTCGAGCTTGTTTAGCTCTATTTTGTTGGGAATTTGGTGAGTATTTGGGCTTGTTGTCGAGCTATGAAGGCTGTTGTTTGGTGGTTATGCTGATTCGAGCTTGTTTAGCTCTTTATTGTTGGGAATTTGGTGAGTACTTGGGCTTGTAGTCGCGAGCTTGTTTAGCTCTTTATTGTTGGGAATTTGGTGAGTACTTGGGCTTGTAGTCGAGCTCCTAAAGCTGTTTTTTCAGTTAATATGCAGATTCGAGCTAGTTTAGCTCTCTATTGTTGGATATTTTGTGCTCATTTGGGCTTGTTGTCGAACGATGGATGCTGTTTTGTGATTATTATGCTGATTCGAGCTTGTTTAGCTCTCTATTGTTGGCTATGTGATTGATATTTTTGCTTGTTGTCGGGTTGTTTTGGCTATTATTTTGGTTTCATGGCTCAATCAAGCTTGTTTAGCTCTATATTGTTAGGAACTAGACATTAAACTAGCCATTACTAAAATAATAAATATGGTAGTTAACAATTTTCTATAAATTTGACATATGTAACCGAACAAAAGAAAAAGAAAAGTTGCTATTTCTATAAAGTGTATAGCACATTTTATTGTTTTGAACCAAACAAGCAAACTTCAAAAAACAAGAAAATTTGTACTTTTTGACTTCTCAAAACTTTGAACCAAACAAGCAAACTTCAAAAAACAAGAAAATTTGTACTTTTTGACTTCTCAAAACTTTTCCTATAATTTTTTTAAGAAATACAAAAAACAAGAAAATTTGTACTTTTTGACTTCTCAAAACTTTTCCTATAATTTTTTTAAGAAATACAAGAAAATCAAATTTTTGATGGAAAACATTTCCTACAATTTATAGAAATGTAACCAAACACCCCCTAAAGTAAAAACTTATTGCCTATCGATTTATTCGTCCATTAAAAGAAACATCTTCCGAGCATTTATCAGAGCAGGAGAACCTTGCTTTGTCTTCTCCACAAGTTGCTGGATCAACATCTTCCCTTCTTCATCAGTAAAGCAATCACTTTCATCATCTTCTTCCTCAGATCCTAGACTCCAAAAGTTGCTCTCCCATGGCAAACTTCTACCTGATGAGATCGAATTATACCCATCAATCCATTCACCTTTATTTATAGATGATGGTGGGCTCTCCTTTTTCTCACTCATCTGCATGAACTCTGCGTAAGCTTCATCATAGGCATTAAGTGCATCTCCCGATAAGTTCAAGCAGAATGGATGAACTAGAGCACTATTAGATTGCATAGCTCGTGGGCTCTTATGGGTTGAAGAAAATCCTGTACCACTGTTTGACAATGTTCTTTGGGGGCTTACCCTCTCAGTTTCCATGCCTTGAAGCTGTCTCTGGCTTCTTAGGAGTTCTTTCTCGAGCTCTATGATCCTTTCCTCGAGCCTGCTCTGGATCATTTGATGAAGACGGAGACTGAGTTCTTTGGGTGAGACGGAGTAGTTAGCGTTGTAGGTTTGAGCTGTGGAGGCTGAGCTTGTGTTGCAGCTCGAATTGGCTTGGTTCTCTAAAATTTCTCTAGTAATATTGTCTGCTCTTAGTTCCCCATGAACCACATCTGCTATGATGTCCGAATCAAGCTACAACCATATATTTTTTTCTTAAGTATCACAGAAATACAACATAAGTGGTGTTATACACGAAAATTTTGTTATAAAAATGTTATTGGAAAAGCAATATCACAAACATTCACTGGAAATTAAATTAAGCACTAAAACTGAAATAAAGCATAGAATTTCGGACTGACCACTATCAATATTTTCTAGTTGAACTTTCATTTTATTACTTATTTCTTTCTACATTAAAAAAATATATGAAATTTTTTAAATTTTAAGTTGTTGAAAAGGAGATTGAAATACCTCAAACATGCCTAACCCTGCCACAGCCAAGATTATCAGCAGAATACTTACAGGAATGAAAAATGTTTCCTATTTTCTGCTCAAACGACACCAGTATATTGGTTTCTTTGTAAAAAGGAACATTATCTGCTAGTATATATGTGATCATGAACTCAATAATCTTCTGAGACAAGAACTATTGAGCTTCAAATGCTGCAGAGCCACTAAAACGTTTTCTTTTTAATTTTATGCTCTTACCTTCACACGAAATGACCTTATTACTGGCCTGACATTAATCTACATTAATAAGGTTCATTCCAATGAAATAAGGTTCAAGTTTAAACAAAACATGCAAAGAAATTTGCAGTTTTATAAGAACAACCATTTACATTTAGTACTAAAAATAAAATATTCTAACGAAAAGGGATACCTCGAGGTCAGCTATCCTTTGCTCCAGACTGCAAGCATTCATGTTCTCCTCCAACCTCTCGAGTTCAGCTTCAAGCTCTGCCTCGATTTTTCTTAGTGATTCAGCATTTTCTTCAGTTCTATTCAAGTTTGGGCATTCACATTCATCTTGAGAAGCAGAATGTGTCAAATTCTCTTCTTGACATAATTCGATAGGTTCTTTGCTTTTGGAGTTCCAATGTTTAAGTTTTCGATTTTCGTGTATTCCATAAGTTAGTTCCTTCAAAGAGAGTGAATCTTTCATTTCCAACTCCTCCTGCAAATCTTGAACTAAATCTTCAGTTTGCTTCAATGATTTGTTTAACTTATCCACTTCTGTCCCCTTAAAAAGTAGGGCAAAGATCATGCCGATACTGATTCCAATACAAAAGGGAAGCACTCTCTCTTGTGAAACTGGCAGAAAGTTACTAGGAGAGTTAGATAGAAGCCTAGAAGTAAATTAAACCATTATTGTAGAAAGAAAACAACCCTCAGATATGGATGAAAACGAATATTTAAAATCGAGGTTCTATATGACAACGGGACACAAGGAGAGAGCAGCCAATAAATTGTATTACCAGTAGACTACCTGTAAAAAGATTCAGAAATTATGGGTATCGTCATAGAGTGTGAAGTGGCTGCACCAATAAATAGATCCTAGAACTCCTCTAGCTCTAGACATTTCAAGGATAACTGCAAGCTAACTTGAGAAACATTATGTTTCATGTATATAGACACAAAATGCAGACTTAACACTGTAACAAGTGAGAATCAGTAATACAGATTAGTAGATAATGAAGATAATAAAACCTCATTATTTTAGGGATTTCATGGATAATAACTCAGAAGTTATAGGATATGATGTTGCAAGATCTTTTTATGTGCATGTATCAATAACCAGCTTGGGCTTAGGACCCAAAATATAGAGAGGTTTTATTTTCAAGACCACTGTACGTATTCGCAATTTCTCCAAAGTAAAATAGTCATTAACTCCTGTATAGTGACTCAGATATGTAATAATAGAACAAGGTAACAACTGGTGATACAGTCAAAGCAACCCTGTTCTTCCTTTTTTCAATTTTTTTAGTTATTTCATTCTTCATTCGTAGTATCCCATCTTTATTCGGTCTAGTCATGTAATTTAAATGCCTACTAATTCAAATATTTGCTAATTAATGTTATTACTTGATACTTTCGCCCCACCTCAACCAATATCATATCTAGCAAAACTAATTTTGATCCAAAATATATAAAAAAAATTTACAACTGAAAATTTTACGAGTATTGTTAATGTTACTGGTCTAGAAATCTTTTTTTTTTGTACGCACATAGGAAAACTCACTCTACTACTGTATGTATAAAACACCACCTAATTCAAATTATGATGAAAATTAAGGTAGGCCTTGGTCTTAGACTGATATTCTAGCACTAACTGAACGTATAAGAACCATTTCCATTCCCTACATCATTTTACTCCCTAATAACTCATGGTTTATAATAGTTCTAATCTCCCCGGAGACATCTGATAAAATTGGAACGAAAGAGAAGATTTGTGTGGTCCCAGTAAGGACGACACATAAAAATCAATAAATGGTATATATAATAATTCTATTATCAAGGTACATCTCAAAATACCACATGAACTGTCAAAGTTTATCACAACACTTATAACAGAAATTCAATTTCTGGTGCTGAAATTGTGAACCAACAACCAATTAAAAACAAAATCACCATGTTCATACCAAGGAAAAGTGTTAAGTGAAAATGGGATTCTAGTATACGAACTGGTGTTAACAGCCAAATAGATTTCTATCTGTATGGCTTCTCAAGTTATGCAAGCAATGATATTTCCCTCCCCATGCAGAACAACCGGTGATATTTTCCTCCCCATGCAGAACAACCAATGCATAGTTGCTTAACAAAATGCTTTATACATTATAAATACAAGCATTAAGAAAAAGTAGGTAATTATAGAGGGGTTATAAAAAGTGCCAGAAAATCAACTACTGATAGCAAAGTTCTCAGCTGTAATGTAGAAATATGACATGGGAGGATGGTATATTTTAAGCATACATAAGCTATTATGCCATCAGAAAGGACAGTGTATTTGAAGCGTAATGAAACCAAGAGAGGTTGTCTTTCTTAACTAGTTAGGTGACAAATTTCTCTCTGTAATGATGACTCAATACCGAATGCATTGCCTCATGCATTAGGCCTAATGTAATGTATAGGTGTTAAGTATAAACAAAAGATTTGAAGCCTTCGCCTAATAGCGTTAGAAGATAAATGTCACAGGAGGTAAAGACTAAACATTGCTATGTACTTGGCAATTCCAATACATCTGAACTTCATATCATTAACTTGCCTGATGGATAATATTTTATAAATCCACAATGCCTTTCTTACCACTCATGCTAAATCACCAACTAAATTATCTTCTTTAACATAAGCTACTAGTATAACAATAGTCAGATGATTCATTAAAACATAATAAATGAAAGTCGAACATGAGGTTTCAATGTTACCTTCCAACTGCAAAATTTTGCAAGGGTTCACTGAATTAGAAGCCTCGACACTTCCATCCTGCAACTCGCTACTCTTTCTCTTCATCTTTCCCGAGTTTGGTAAAAGAGGAGCCCCTGTCACAGCTCTCTTTGCAACCGAATTAATCATATCTGCTTCCTTATGTAAATCGTCCTCCTTCAACAATGGATTTTCATGCCGCATGCTGAAATAGTCGAAACTGGACTTGCTAATTATTTTTCTCTCATCAGTTACAACAAATGGTCTCAAAATTGGTGTGGGTGAATTGGGAGGGGAATCAATACAATACTCATCCATTTCAACTTGTTCAGCAAAAGGTTTCATGTAGTTGCCCGTAAATGTAACTGGCTTAACCGAAAATCTTCGAAACCTCCTGCTCCTAAGAGAGCCTCTACTTTTCTCAACACCATTATTCGTTCCTTCTTGATAGCTTTCCTTCTTAAAAATCCATGGATGCAAGCTCAACAAAGCACTCTCATCACTCACAAATTCTTCCTGAATCATTGAATGATCTCCATTGTTTCCACTTGCAGATGCCACTGATGCCTCTAAAGAGCTTTCTTTTGAACTATATGCATCATCCTTTGATATATGCCTTCTAATAAATTTTCGAAAAGGGCAGCTGTCTGATTCCGCTCTCTTCTGATTGAACCTTGTCTCCATTGAAATCTCAACTTGAAAAAAAAGGGCAGCTGTCTGATTCCGCTCTCTTCTGATTGAACCTTGTCTCCATTGAAATCTCAACTTGAAAAAAAACGCAATTTCTTACATCAAAGAGAATAGCCCATGAATCCAAAATCAATCAAATATTTTGCTATTAGAACTTCAAAACCCTAAGACCCAATTGAGGTTTAGGATCAATAGGAAGAATCCATCAATCAAAAAGTGATCTTTTCAACTCTAATAGATATTGCTTGGCTGGAAACTGGAATGAAAGTAGAGATAAAGGAAAGAAACTGCGACCTGAAAGAATCAAGAAAAGATCCAATAGAGCTCCCAAGATCCTCCCTTTCTCCTCTTCTCTCTCTCTCTCTCTCTCTATCCGTCTCTCTAAAATTGGGAGGGGGGAGAAAATTTGAGACCGAAAGTGGACAAACGTATATAAACGGCAATCAAATGGACTGTGAATTTTTAGGATTTGTTTTGTTGTTTTTTGAAAATACAGGATGACCGTTTCCTCATTATCTCCAACTGGGAAGAGTTAAAAGCCCACGACCTAACGATCAGGTGCACCGCACGTGTACGGAGATATCGAAGTGGAATTCAGTGTTTTACTTAACTAGCAGGGGCAGGATTCTCTCCATTTTTTAATTGCGAAGATTCCATACTTGATTATATCAGTGAATAGCAGTTGGTCTCACAATTAAAAATAATTTTTAATATAAATTATATAATAAATATTATTCATGAGGTTCAATGAATGGGAATATGTAATTGGTGAATTCTATAGGTTCTCTATGGAACTAGTGATGCATTTTATTTCAATTTATTCATATTTTTAATTAGAGACAAGAAATTCTGCCTGCTTTATTAGTAATTTAGTATAAATAATGAAACATAAATTCAAGTGTAAAGGACATATTTTGATTATTAAGATAGATTAAGAGGTCAACAATTGAGTTCATTGAATCATTTGAGCAAAATGTGACATGCAAAGGTAGAAGACTCAAATGCTACATAAAAAGGGATTTTTGCTTATGGACCCAAAAGTTGACCCGACCCTCATTTATCAAAAAAATTCATTACGTTATATCTAAACCTATAAACCCAAAATACTCATACACATTTTACCTTTAAACCCAATTCCCATATAATATGGTTGTAGAGAAGTTATTGTGAATCCGACATCTATGAAGTCCCCAAAATAAAGAGGAAGAAGACATTATTGCTTGTACATTGAAGAATGCTTGTCTAAAGTGTGAGATTTAAGAGTTCCGAAGAATTAAGATTAGATACTCTGTTTCTCTTAGAAAACCACTGTTTTTAAGCAAAAGACACAATTTATTCGTAGAAAGCTCATGGCTTTGGTTAAAATTTTTGCTAGAGATTCCGTTTTTCAAATTTAGAATTAAATTCAATATGTTTGTCTCTTTGTAGAAAGTGATTCGATTCTCTTCATTCAACTTTACATACACTACTTTAAAATTGTGTAATGTCAAATCTTAATGTATTTTATAATCTAACTTTATTTTCTTATTGACGAACAAATATGGATGAAGAGTTATATTACCTATTGGCGGACTTCAGAGAAAATAATCACTTGATTTCCTTGAATGTTAAGGGAAAAATATAATGATTTAGTAAATCAAGTGCGAAGTAGAGTCAATTGTTGTACAAGCACATTGCAACTGAGTTATAGAGTCCCTCATGCCAAATTATTAGTTCATATTATTGGTGATATTGATGTATTGACAATGCTAAAAGAAAATCATGGTTGTAATGAGAAGATCATCAAGATGCATTATTGATTTTATTTGAGCAATAACCAAGCACGATACATATAAGGTAAAAATTTGTCAAATAAATGGGAAATATAATTAATGTGTAAAATAACTACTTAAAAGCATTAAAAATTTCTCTATGTTAAGAACTTTATTTGATATGTTATAAATCAGTGTCTAATCCTATGAAGAAATCCTACCATCCCAATAACAAAACAATATACTTTATCATCACAGAATCCATTTATTTCACAGGATGCATTGCTAGAAGTTAAAAATTTAAGTCATCAAATTTCTATCTCATGATATCATGCAATTAGAAGTGTTGGTCAAGAAGTTATTAACATTGAACACTTGAGGAAGAGCTTAATAAATTATTCCATTGCACTAGGTTGCGACTATAGTTTATTGAAGAATGAACCAAACAAAGTGAGTGTGAGTTACAAGGTTCTAAATTGTGAATGGTGGGTATATTGTATTCAATGAGTATATAGAGAGCGATTCTATGTTAAAAAATTAGTGGTGCACATAGTTGCCTTGGCAAAGGCGTAGGGGAGAAGGGTCATCCTCATGCATTTCAGAGTGGGCATCTAATCAAGTAAAAACAATATCGAACGATCAACCCACCTATCGCACAATTGATCTTAAAAAGAAGCTTCATGAAAACTTAGTGTGGAAATACCATATCATAGAATTTGGTTTGGGGGGGGGGATCGTTCAATGGTATTGGTATGGATCACCACGTACGACCTACTTAGTAGGTACAAGGGGAAAGTCATGGAAACAAACTCGAAATTAGTCTTTTATTTGGAGCATAAGGATGGAAGGTTTACTAGACTATTCATCTCGTACTATGCTTGTTGGAAGGGATCTGTGGATGGATGCAAGCATATTTTATTCTTGGAGGGCACACACCTTTTGGATGGGTATAGCGGTACTCTTCTTGCTGCAACTTCTCTTAATGGAGACAGATGGATGTTCCCATTAGCTATGTGCATTTGTGGGACAGAGAATAAAAGCAATTGGAGTGGTTTTTGGAATTCATATGATACATCCTATTTAACGCAGAGGATCCATGCACTCAAGATGACAAGTTGGATATTATCTCTGACCATGATAAAGGCCTTTAAAACTCTGTTAAGAATTATTTTCCTTGAACATATCATTCATACTGCATTCGTTATTTGATGGCTAATTTCAAGAATAACCTTTCCAAAGAGAGGGCTCGCGGCACTTATAAAGGATGAATGCATGCAAATTATGAAGAAAGTCACTTATGCATTCATGTTGCAAGCTTATGATATTAAATGAAATGAGCTATAGAAAAAAATCATAAATAGATTGTAATGAAGTGTTGAGGACGAGTTTAGAGAATTGGGCTAATTGTTCTTTTTTAGGAAGAGGTAAGGTGTAACTAACTCTTGTTAAAATAGATTCTTTTATTTTTATTTATAATGAAGTAGTTTTAATCACATTACTTAAATATTTCAACACAATATTAGAATATTTCTATAAGTGAGTTATGTATTATGTTCTAACAATGTTGTCTACTTGGCGCAATGACCTATGAATAAGAGGAGTATTCCCTTGCCCACTGTAATAAGACATTTTGGAATTCTGAACAATCTGTTCATGGTAGTCCTCCTAAATCCTTCGATATTCTTAACATAATAGGGTGGTGGTAGTCCTTCAATGTTTGAAATACATTCTAGTTTCCCTCACCAATTCATAAAACCAAACCTAAAAAAATTATACATTAGTATGTGTATGAAAAAAAATCACAGTAAAGAAGAAAAATTGTACAATGTAACTTTCATGCCACTCACCAACAATATAGAGGAAATACCAACCACGTACCCAGCATGTTGTTGTTCTCCCAATCCTCTCATACAAATAGACTTCTTCACCTTCTTCTTCTCTTTGCAAAGAATAGTGAACATTGTATGACACCAATTATAATTCTCCAAAGTGGACAAATGCTCTGCATATCTAAACTTCCATAAAGGACATGTCTTGCACGCTCGCAAGCATAATATGAAGCCAATAATAAAGGCCACAATGAGTTCCACAAAAATTATATGGTCTTTTTTTTGGCTATATCTACAATCAACTTAGTCATTCTATCGCGCCTCCCTCCAAATTACCCCTTTTGTTTCCTCATCGACTTTCTTCTTCTCCGTGGGTGTCTTATAGTTCTTTATAAATTGGGTATATATTGTATTAGTTATTGTTCCACTCATCTTTATTGGAAATTTCCTCCTTTGGCAAACTGATAATTTAGTATACACCCTCTATACCAAACACATAATCTTTATTCCCAATCATAAATAAGCATTTATCGGGATTAAATTTCTGAATCTACCAATCAATTGATACTTACTCATTGCTTAAGGAGGTGGGTATTTGGAGGAAGTTGTGAAAAGGGGTTTTCCTAAGGTCTTTCATATATCTTTCATCCAATACAATACGCTTATCAATTAAATCTCGAAAATAGCAGAGATTGGAAGAAATTCTTAATTCTGTAATCATACCCCTACAAGAGAATCATAATTCAAATACATGAACAAGTAAATATAATATAACATTTAAAATCACTTAAAGAAATTTCCATGATCATCTACTACTGATTTGCTTTCTTTAGTGTCTGGTTTCTATGTATTTTTGCTAAAACTATATATAAAACAAGTTAAATAAAATACAAAATTCTTAAATATTTACTTCGAAGAAGAAGTTTTTTTGCATTTGGAGGAGGAAAATTTTGCTACTCTTGAAGAACTCCTAGATGCCGAACCCTTCACTTTATTCGAAGCCATCATTGAACTGAAAGAGATTTGGGGTAATCCGTCTAGTATTTTGGGATAAAGCTATGAGGATTTGAGAGAAATGACCTATTAGACCCTAATGCCACTAGAAAAGAACCCTAGAGAGAGGGGAGGAGGGGGTGAAAAGGGTCTTATGCTAATCTAATCCGATTTAATACCAAATAAAAATTAATTAACAAATTATTCTTGTAAGATAGATATACAAGAGTTATGTGCAAGAATGAGCAATATAAACAAAGAGTAATATCCAATGAGATATATGGTGAAATATATGCAATGATATATAAACTAACACAAGGGTGAAATAAACAATAAACAAACAAGAGTGATAGTGCATAAATAAACAAACACAAATAACACAAAATGATCACGGAGTTCGGACCTTCCGTCCTACGTCTCCGTTCCCTACTCCCAGGAAGAAATCCACTATCACACCGAGTTTTCGACGCTCACCCGAAAACGTTTACACATCACACTCAGTTTTCTAGCTCACCGAAAACTTTACAATCAACATTCTTACAATCACACTCTACAGTCTCTAAGTGTTGGTTTCTAGCCCGTGTCCCCCTCAAATGCTCGGATTTACAACCTCTCCCTAGGCTTTACTACTGACGCCACTCCTCTTGGGATGATCTCGTCTCTCACCACACACTCCTCTCGGTGTACAAGTATATTACAAATTGATCTACATAATGAAGGCTCAAATACAAATTTTGTTCTCTAATACAAAGATGAGAACTAACTGTAAGCTCACTCTCAATGCTACACACCCACAACCCCAAATTATACTATGTATGCAAATATAATAAGGTCAATAGGTTGTGTGTGAACAAAGAGTATAATCAAAACAAATCTAAACTCAATATAAATCTAGCTTAAAAATGATAATCAGAT